TACCTCACTGCATACGTTTGCAGAGGTAAAGCAGTGGCTACAGCAGAAGCGCTGGGTCGATCAGGTGTGCAGAGTCTTCCTGGTCCAAACCCATCAACCAATGTTCCGAAACCCACGATGGCTCCGAAGCCCATAGTTCCTCCACTCTTTGCTTCCCAATCGGCTCCCCCTCAGACTCCACCTCCCACTTCTCTCATTCGTTCTCATTCAGAATTCGTTGGCTCTGGTCCCACAGCTTTGCCAGGTCAGATACCCTCCATTCCTGTCACTTCGGTCAATGTGGTCAGTAAACTCCCTCAAATGAACCCACCACTCCAGCCCGAATTTCGGACCCAAAGGCCCACTGTCCCTTCCTTGGACCAGCCTGCACCCGAAAAGGTTGTCCCTTACATCCCGGCTCCACCGTCTACCATGCCCGAAGTTGAACAGTGTCTGCATCGTATGAGTGAGTTTCAAGAGACTCAGGCTCAGTTTGAGGAGCAATTCTCTTCCCGAATGGTTGCTCAAGTTTCCGAAATGATAGACTATTACCGAGAAATCAACCGAGGACGTCATCAAGCCTTCTCCGAAAGTGTCACACAATCACTTTCGGGTGTGAGAGCTATCAATGGGACATGGAGTGAATTCAAAGCGCGGTATGACTCGGTGGTTTCTGAAAGAGATGTGGCTCAAGGAGAGGTAAAGACACTGGACCGGCTGTACAAAGAGCAGATTGATAAGAATGAGGAGAGAGATCATGCTGTTGCCCGAGTCACCGCCGAAAAGGACGCCGAAATTGCTTCAATCCGAAAGCAGTTGGAGGAGACACAGGAAGGGCTCAAGACTATGAGCCAGAGGTTCGCTAGTGCAATGGGGGATAAGGAAAAGGAGGCTCAGGCTCGTCAGTTTGCTGAACAGCGGTGTTCAGATCTGGCCAGACAGATGGCTGAGAAGGAAAACACCGAATTGGAAACTCTCCGAGCTCGTCTTTCGGAGGCTGAAGCTGCTAAGGGAGTAATGCAACAGCAAATCGACGAGGCATTGCAGTTTGTGCAAATTACCGCTGCCCTGCAAAATGAGACTGAGATGGAGAATGTAGGGTTGAAGGAACTCAAAGCGCAGTTGGAGGGAGCAAATGAGAAGTTACGGGCGGACCTTCAAGTGGATCAAGAGGAGTGGGAATCGGCCAACTACACCATCAGGCAACTTGAGTCAGAACTCCAAGAGGCCAAACAAGAAAAGGCTCGGCAACAATTCCGCTTTGACCTTAGGACCTCCCCTGCGAAGCCGAACGAGTACTCTGACCGAAGAAGAGCTCACAGTCTTGATCTCCCTTCCACCAAGATCACCGCTCGAAACTCCGAAAATACCGCACCGAATCCCGAAAATGACCCTTCCAACTCCGAAAATGTACTTTCTTCAGGACCAACACCTCATGATGCCATTCCCACAATCCCCACAAATGCAGATCTCCATTCTTCTCAAGATTAAATGTAGCCAATCAAATCCGTGTTACAGTTCCCTTGTATGTACTGTCACTTGTTCATTTTGCCGAGTTTCCGTTTCGGTGTTTTCATTTCATGTTTCGGTCTTTCTATGTTTGGGGTCCAAATGTCTCATCTGTGTGTGAACTAGCCTGTGTAATGCATTCCATGTCTGAACTCTTCCAGCCTGGCTCATGTTGCATACATCCCTGCAAGAGATACTTCACTGTTTCTTGTGTCAGTGAGCGAGAGATCCTTGTAGTAGGATTAATTGTCCCCAAAATTCGGACCGACTTCGGACAGCCTTGACCAATTTCGGACAGTCATGGCTGCATATATCACTGCAAGAGAGCTTATGACTATCCAAATAAGCACTGGGTAGACACAATGACTAGTGACCCTAAGCAGTACAATATTGGAATACATGAGATGGTCAGATGTGCTTTCGGAGGGGTTTTCGGTGTTTCGGGAGTGCCTTCGGACTCACTTGGGAAAGATAATCAAGCCCCAATCTGCATCAAACCAAGTGTATTTTTACATCCAGAGGTATATTAGTCATTATATTCATGCACAACCAGCTGTGATACCTCTCTACAGGCGATCTATGTAGTAAGTCATGGAAGGTACAGACTTGTCCATCAATTTTTTCACCTTCGGACTGAATATAGACTCATTTGCTGGATCCCGTGCAGCCATTGCAAGCACCAGTTGAAGCACACTTGTTCGTAGTTTTCTACTCTCACCTCTAGCCAGAGTTGATGATTTCACCCCAAGCACAGAAGCAGTCGGTCTGATTCCCTGGAGAAGAAGACATGCAGCGGCACATGCTAGAGGACCACAGCTGTGTGAGTCCACTTGTGTAACCCAGTCCAGGTTATCCCTGGTAGCCTGAACGTCATTATTGAGCTTGGGAGTAGTACTGTACTCACCTGAGAATTTGGAGCAATCAACCAACCCATAGCTTCAGCCTCTGTTGCTATGCCTTTTCTGACTTCCCAGGACAAACGGCGTTCTAGCAGGCGTGACCATTGCTATTGATCAGTGACGCTGCACCTCATTGAAGTAATTTTGAATGACCAACTTACCTTCTTCTGTTCTCCCGAATCATAAGTCCCCCCTGCCCCATCATACATCAACACCAGCTTCTGTGGCCCAAAGATTACCAGTGTCTCAAAATGGGAGCTCGACATCAGAACCCCAACTGTGTTCTCTTTCCTCCATTGCCCGTCCTTGCCCAGAGAAGGCCATGGCGTACCTCCAGGTATGTATGGGTTCCAGTTGTCACCAGCAGCTAGGGTTCGGTAAACAAACGAGTTTGGTATGGGGTCAGACATTCCAATCCCCAGATTCACACAATTTCGGATGAAAGCTGACACCGAAAGCAAGATATCATCGATTCCGAAATTGGTGTACCACTCATTCCTTCCGTAGAACTTACGCAACGTTTTTGACCCGAATGTGGAGTCTACACCCTGCAGCTTCAAGCCCTTATGCTCATCTTCGGCCATGTCATGAAACATAGCTTCCATCTGGTCGCACAGGTCCTCAAGGAGATCGTCCGAAAGGCTATCAACATCTTGAAATGTGCTGACGGAGATGAGAGGTTGAAAGGATTCCCCCGAACGCCACTGAACTTGTGCTAGTCTTTCGGCAATGACTGACTGAGCCTTTTCTAGTTGACAGTACTGCGGAACCTCGGGTGAGGGAGAGCGTTCAACAGTGGGAACGACACTTGGAGGATCAATGTCCATGGATGATGATGGGGAATCTGGTTCTGCTGTAATGTCTTGAGAAGCTACAGTGGGATTGAGACTGATAGCTTGATCGGGGGGAGCCGATTCACCCTGGGGTGTGTTGGTTTGGCACAGCATGTTGCTCGAGGAAGGCCCGCTTTCGGGAGGTTCATCACCAGGTGGAGAAATATGTGTAGGCTTCGGAGGGATGGTACCCTGAGAAACTGTGGGAAGAACATTGGGCTGAGAAGCGGTGGGGTCTGTAGGGGTACTGGTGGGCGCCAAGCTTGTGGACTGGACATCAACTGGGGCAGGTTCTTGTTCCGTTGGGTTTGGAGGAGGAACTTTCGGATCTCCCGAATTCGGAGGTTCAAGCGTTGGCGGGGCCGAAGTTGGCAGCTCCGAATTTGAAGAATTAGCTGGTATGGCGTCCGAAACGGGAGGTTGGGGGTTTGGTGCTTCCAGTGTTGGGCCTTCAGCTTTTGGTATTTCAGGATTCGAAGCCGATTTTGACATTGCTTTCCCACTTGGCTTATTCAGTCGTCTCTTTTTGGCAATGGGTTGACTTGCTGATGGCTTGACTTCATCTTCCAGTGTATAGAACAGCAAGACCGGGAATCGTGTACCACCGAAAGCGTCCCGGTTCAGAAACATACGAGAGGTTTTTTCGTCGTCAATCTCCCACAGCACATCATCATGCTTTATCAAAGCCACATAGTGTCCACTGGTCACCTGCACGGTGTCCCCCTTTCGGCAGAGCATTCCCTTCAATCTGTACATTGGAAGATTGCTGGGGAGTATAGGAGGAGGTACGGCCGAAACCTGCGCTGGGTTGATAGTTTCGGGAATGTCAAAAGGGTGGATCACTTGGTGTGCAGAGGGGTTTCGGAGATCCCAGACAATGTTGAGGAGTAACATGCGGGGCAGGTTGTTGGATTCCAAGGACATCTTGGCTCGTGCTCGAGTGACGGCCATTCGTCCATTACATGGTACCGAAAAGCAATGTTGGGGACTGCATGAACGCCACAATGAAAGGTTGATGAGCTGGATGAGGTTAAGTGATGAGCCATGTGGATAGATTTGGAGAACGGTCATTTGCTTCTCCAGTGAGGATGTCTCTTGCCTGACAGGGACTGCGTGGGAACAGGGCTGAAAGACATATTCCCAGGTACTCCGAATGAAGG